AAAAGAATTATTTCTAGTTGAAATAACTTTAATTCAATTAATTTTCTTTTAAAATAATTTTTTAATAAATTATTTTTATCTTTATTTTAAGGGCTATTATATTTTTATTTTTTATAATTTTTTTTTTAAAAAAAAACATTATTCTATTATTCTATTATTTATTTAAGTTTTCCAAAAAAATATTATTTATATATTTTAGATTTTTTAAAAATTTTTCTTTGAATATTAATTATAGTTAAAAGATAAATATATTAAATTTTTTTGTTATAACTTGAAAACAAATTTATATATAGTAAATAGTTGCAATATTTTTATATGATAAAATATTAATACGTATTTGCATTTAACTTATTGTATACTTTGCACTTAGAGATGTATATTTATATTAAAGTATTTTTGCAAATAAGTACTTAAAATATATAGAAGCTGTTCCAATCTTAAAAAAAACTATTTTCAAAATATTTAATTATTTATTAAAATTTTAATATTAAAAAATAAAAAATATTTAAATTGTGACTCAATTGATATATACATATACTGTACTTTCTTATTATCTTTTGAAATTTTAAGCCTGCGGGTACCGGATTAACCGGTTTATAACCAATTCAAGTACTTTGAATTTATTAAATTTACAAATCAAGTTTATTGATTTTCTTCGACGATATAAGAGTAAACAATAAAAGAAAGGTGCTATCAACGACATAATAAATACACTTTATCTTTCAACGAGAATAAAGAATACCTTTATTTTTCAGAGATTTCTTCTCATTCCTTCCAGTATCCTAATTCTTTTAAAAAATCGCTAACCTTTTCCGGCGGACGAGCGATAATCGCTTTGCCCTTATTCCAGTCCACCAAAATAGGTCTTTGCATCCTGTCAGGTTGTTTTTTGATGACATTTTCTAATTCATCAACATTACTTGCCGTTTCCACGGCTTCGGACTCGTCATTTCTAAGAACCGATTTCAAATCATTTTCAGCGCCAAGATAATCTGTAATGTTTCGAAGTTGATCTTTCGTTAGAGGTTGTTTTTTACAGTCAAGAATATCAAGCTTGAATACACCAGGTTGTCTTCTTAACGCTTCATAAAGGATTGAGAGTGCAGTATTTGAATTTTTACTTTTCGAGTTGTAAACAAGTGTTAAAATTGATTGTGCATGAGGCAAACGAAACGACATTTTGAAGAGGTAGAAATGATGTGGCGTAAGGAAAGCAACGGACACATTTATACCACACACGTATAGAGGGGTGACTTTATTATCACGTGAAGACGATCATTGTCGACTGAAGCATCAACTCATCACTGTGTCTCTCCGGCTAACTCAATAGAGTGTTAGATTATTATAGCGGGATTCCGACTGGTAATGTATAATGAATCAGCAAACGGAGTATTAACCTTTTTCATCGGATCGTCCTCAAATCAAGTGTTAAATTGGTAATGAAAAAAAAATTTTCACGAAATTGCATACATAAGCTCCCGTAGCAAAGTGGCAATGCGTCGTGCTTATAGGTTATACCCTATACTTGAGCAACGCGAAGGTCGCGAGTTCGATCCTCGCCGGGAGCAATTTCTTTTTTAAGTTTTTTTTTGAATAAAAAAATATAATATAATTTTTTTTCAAAACATATAACATCGATATGGAAATTCTACTATAAATTGAGCAACACACAATATACTGTTTATGGTTTCTGAATCGCGATATAGCAACAATAATTAAACCTATATAAAGTCGAACCTGAATACAACGAACTTATAATTAATATCGATTAGAACAAAATCAAAGTTGGAAAATTGCGTTGTCATATACTAAAAATCTGTTGATGATGTATATTTTTTGATTCGTTATACTGTATCTTACTTTACCAGATCATATTTATGATCAGGTTCTACAAGAATATGATCTCAGGGGTAGGTCCCCAGCTTCAGCACGAACCGATTCTTGATGAGCCAAAAAAGTAGTCTATTGCGATTACCGTTAATGATCGACCGAGTTCAGCTGTACAAGTAGGGCAACAAGCCTTTATATTCTTCTGACTCCTAGTAACATTCGTGCAATATTCAATATTAGAATAAATCTAATGAACTTTATGGTGTTCGTACGCCTGGACCTAGAGCACTCATTGCACCTCTGGTTGTATCTTCGGTCTTTCGAAATGGATTAATGTAAGAAAATTAGAGTGTCTGTCCCTAAGGCAATTAGAGTTTGACCATAGGCCGAGAAGATTTTTTTACATTATTATTAATTAAAAAAATTTATATTATTTGATTATTAATGACAAAGAATGTTGAATTATTAATCAGAAGCGAAGTAGAGGACTACATAAAATTCTGTGCATATTAACAAAAATGTCTGTTCGTCGATGATGTAACACGTTCTTATAATGTTTAACCGTTTTCCTAGTTGTTATTACAACATTGTTGATGATTCAATGTTTTTTGTAAAGTAGAAATAAGTCCCATTTTCGTATGCTTGAGCAAGATATTCTGCAGCAAATGTGCTTGAAAATCAATAAAGAATAAGTGAAAGGAAAAAAGACCCGTTATGCATGAGTCAGCTCAGAAAAGCACAAAAAAGAACCTCTACAGGAAATGCGAGTACTTCAAACAGAAATGCCCAGATCACGAACTCATTAGGGGCATTGGTCAGGTCTCGACTGGAAACTCTTTCAAGAGTTTTACATCCATTTTGGAACGATAGTGCTGAGGAGATATCAAAGAAGGTTGTGGTTACCAGGAAGGATCGGCTTTGCAAATTTGCGTACGAGCTTTTTCTTGGCAAGATCATCGGACGTCAAACGCTAGTATGCCTGCCGAGGATCTATTATCTATCTTTTCAGCAAGACAATCTGAGAACAGAGAACGACGAAAATAAATTAAAAACATAAGAAAGTGGATGGAAAAATTTCTTGAGATGGTGTGGTGCACCGACATGAGCGTTATACGACGGCACTGCCTGAATGATGAGTGCTTCATAACTGAAGAACTTCTAGAACTTCTCTAAATAAGAGACCCTGGGGAAGTACGTTCGTACGCGATTCGAAAATTGATGAGCGCATACGAAACAAAAAGAAGTTGCATGGAATTAATTAATTAGTTTA